AAAAAAAAACAACAACAACCAAAAAACCCTTTTTCTCATCAAGGCTCCCCCAAAGGATAAAGAGAGGAAAGAGTGTAGGAGTCAAGAAAAAGGAGGGTAATGGAATGATGGGTCGCACAAGTGCCCTTAAGGCCAGACAGATACCAGAGAGAGTGAAAATGAGCCAATAGTGAGAAGACAATTGAGAATCAGAGACAGAGAAATCTCACATGACATGAGCTGAGAAAGCAGAAGCAGACAAGGCCGTCTGAGACACAAAGGCAAGTCGATGAGGAGGAGAATGAAGGAGAGAGCCAGTCTGGCAGGGGCCTCTGGATGACTACGGCTCTTTAATGCACTCATAAATCCATTACTTAAGGCAATGCAGAGAGTAAGTGGATTTGTACTCTGGCCCCGTGATTACTCTGGCATCAATAAAGGATGGGCAGGGAATATAGACGAGATTCCACCTCCACTGCTCTGCTTTTCTCTCTGGCTATTTAGCAATAAGGCAGAAGACAGAGATGACAAGCAGCAAGAAACATGTCAGTATAAAATCATGCTCGTATACGGGATGTTAAATGAACACTTGAAAAACACATGAACGGTTACGTGTTGTAGAAGATCCAAGTGACAAGACAACAGACGTGTGATTATTCATTCACATCCTCCAGCCTATAAAGTATTATATTATATTATATTCACCCCTTTGGGAAATTTTAATGTTTTTAGGGCTGTAAATAAACATTATTGATTAATCAGACAATTATTTTCTCAATTAATGTTTTTGTCTATGAAATGTTGAAAATAGTGAAATATGCTCAAAGTGACTAATGAATTGTTTGTTTTATATGGCCAACAGTCCAAAACTTTAATATATTTAATTTCCTATTAATATGACAAAGAAATAAACCATATTTGACGAGTTCAAATCGAATCATTGGCATTTTTGCTTAAAAACGGTTATCAGATTAGTTGCTGATCAACTTTCTGTTGACTGACTAATTGTTTCAGCTCTACATTGAATAAAAGTAGATTTAATGTGGATTTTTGACTACTGGTCTGTTTTTATGAAATCTAATTTATTTCTGCAATACTGCAATGTATTTTCATTTGTCTCTATATGGTAGTTTGTATTGTACATTGTATTGGTAGTAGTGTTGGTTGTAGCGCTATTGTAGGATTCACAGGAAAATACATCCACTGTTACTCACTGTTCACTCTCCGACAGCTGTATCAGAGCTGTGTTACGTTATTGTTAATAAAAACACTTCACAATAGCCAAATAGTGAAATAATTCACAAGTTATTCTCTGCATCTTTCCAGCCACAGTGAGTTTTTAGAGGAAGAGTTGTAGGTCGACCAGCTGCATACCTCAGACTCCTCAACAAGGTAAAAACTTTACTGCGTCCTGCTGTTGTGTGGAAAACTACTGGCACTGTGCGCCGCATGAAATCACATCACAGTTGCAATTATTACTGACTGACATCTTTACATTACAACAATGCAAATTAGCTGCTCTTGTTTGTTTCTGACAAAGGAGCTGCTCAAGGTGTGTTGAGGTTGCAGTTGCCACGGTAACCACTGGTGTAGGCAAATCAACGAAACTGAAACTTTTTCAGAATAACAACTTTAAAGTTGTTCTTAAAAGCCACTTTAACTCTACTTTGATTGAATGTTTTAAGACAATAAATAGTTGTTCTACAGAGTTTGGTACGGGTGGGTATGTGTCTGTGCACCGATCCGATACCATGTAATTTATTAGCCTCAAAACTAGTTAGTGATCCAACCTACTCTGAGAAAAGGGTTTAACCAGAGCCAGACCATACAACAACAATAGTAATTATACAGGCTTAGCAGTATACTTTTGTTAAAAAATAATAATTAGATATCGGATCCTTCTCTGACAATAATCATAAAAACTTCTTAGGCTGGAGAATAGTTTTTAAAGCACTGATGCTGGAGACAGCTGTTATGATCTGTACCTCCACACACAGATTACTTTGCCAATTGTGGCAGGGTTTGGTTTGTACAAATTGCATTTCTGAACCATCAACCGACCACGAGGGGATTCAGAAAATAAAGGTGCTCAGTGGCGGACAGTGTTCGCACAGGAATGTGCAGATGGTAGATGGTAGGTTATTATCAGGGGACAGACGATTGATCCACTTGTCAGAGCATTTGAGAGGCTGTTCAACACCAGTGCCCTAGATACAGTAAGGAGGAAAAAGGACCCAAAGAAGGCAGGAGGAGGAGGAAGTGGAGTGAGGCAAAGACAGAAAGAGAAATTGACAGCAAAGGAAGAAAATAAGAAAAGTTTGGATGAGAGAGCAGGATAAGACGATAAAAATGGATAGAGCTAATATGATTGCAATGTTTTGGAAGCACAAGGGGGCTGAGGGGTGATAAGTGGGTAGAAATGAGTAAATAGAGGTGGAAGACTGACTGAAATCCGGAGATAGACGAGGAAGATTAATGGAGAATGAAGACTGCCGAGGGAGGGCTGAGGACTGATGATGAAAACATGATGATGTCAAGGAAAGAGAGAGCTATGATGGCGAGTTGAAGCCGCAAGGCAAGGTGAGCGAGCAACAGAGCGAGCGAGAGAAAGAAAAGTGTGAAGCGGTGAGACGAAAAGAAATTGTTGATGATGAGAGGCTAAAAGCGGAGGAATTAGGAGAAGGTGAAAATTACAGTGGAGGCAGCAGCTCAACAGAGGACACAGAGAGACAGAGAGAGAGAGAGAACGTCTTGGAAATATCAGCAGGAGATCAAAGGAGAATAAAAGACAGCTCACAGTCAGCTCTGCGTAAAAAAATCTGACTTCTCCCAATTCTAAAAATAACACTGCCAACTATCTCATGGCCTTGGTCACTTTACAGCAGGAAAACTAGGCCAGATTTTCAATCTCTATTGTAATAAATAGATTTTATTTATAATCTAGACCACTCAGAGATATTCGTCAGTGCATTTCTTCCACAACATGAGAGCTCTACAGCCCAGGGCTGAACAATTTAAGGAAAATCTCTCAATTTTTCTGACTAAAATTGCGCATTAACTTGCACTTATTTTCTACAGGCCTGTATTTGTGGTCTACACAGTATTAAACAAGTTATCACAAACACTATCACAGACTTAGTGTTCCTACAATAATACAATAATAAAATATTGCTTTTACCCTCCCAGGTTCAGTTCAGCTAGAGAAAAGCCAACTTCTACGTAAACTAGGTTTGTTTATTGTGGCAGGATTTAGGTATTTCTTAAACTAAGACATTTAAAAGTTAAAACTTTAACTGGGAGATTCCAGCACCTCTGTTCACCAGCCATATATTAACGTTATACTCGACAACTGCCAAGCTAAATGCTAACTAGTCTAAAGTTGATGTAAAGCAAAACTTGTCACTCTTTTGGTATTTTAAGAACAGCAAAAAGCTGCATTCAAATATCCAAAATGACACAGAACGGTGTTTTTTCTTGCACAACATCATCTTTAATGTAAATCTATAGAATCAGCATGCATAGAATTAGCATAATTAACCAGGCAGAAGCAAAGACTTCTTTCTTTTTGTTTCACAACTCACAGAATTAACCATAATTGAGAAAAGCTGAGTAAATTTGCCAGAGACAGTTGTTGTTATAGTTGGTGAAATGGTCACCAGATGAAGCTTTAACTAGCTCTTGTGATTTGAAAATTGCACTCTTTCAAACTGTATGTGACTCAGACTCCGTCGTTCTCACCGCATTGTGCAGCTCTGAATATGTTCTGTTGGTGGCATAATGAAAAGGACGATAGGACTAAAGTGGGAGACAGTTTTTTAAAAATATTTTGCCTCTTTATAGATCAATTTTTAGATGCACGAGAGAGAAGGCTGCACACAATAAATGACTATAAAGTCTGAGGGAGGCTGGAGCAGAGTTTCCTCAGTACCATATGAGCCTTGGATACAAAGCGAGTGAGGCGAATTAAATCAGATTCCTTGTGGCACCAAGGACAGTGCTGTCCTTCAGTCGGTAACTAATGCACTGATGGAGAATTAAACAGATAATATGTTGACTATTCATCTGTTTGTAAGGAGTTTTTAAAGTTCTTACTGCAATGTTCAAGTCTCATTAAATCCCTGTAACAATAGCAATGACATTTTCAGTGACAGTTTTGTAATGTCAACTCAGTGTCTGACTCATCAAATCAACAAACTACATGATTAGTTTAATATAAAACCTCTGGTAACAGTGATAAAGTTACAGATAAATCACTTCTGATAATGTTATGGTTAATAATATCTGACTGATGACCACTGTCGAGGGCTTTCCACTGAAGCAGAATGAGCTATATTAGCTGCCTCACAGCTCTGAATCCTGCAGAACCTGACCAGAGCTATTAGGTTGCTTTGCTAAAAATATAAATATGATTAATACACTATGTCTAATGGAATAATTTGGTGATATTTCACATATATTTTCATGTTGAATACCATGAAAAGACAAAAAACGACAATGAATTTATCTCATGTAGCCAAAGTTTGATATATATATTATTCCTCTGTATCATAGACCTCCATTTTTGTCCACAATTACACACACATCAGCTAGATATTGATCGCTGAAGAGACTCGCCAGTCTGTTGGTCTTTCTGAACAACACAAATGTAATAATTAACTACCTTTCATTAAAGCCCATATGGTATGTACAATGGCTTGCAAAGCCCAATCTAACCTGACAACAGCCTTGAGCTTTATTCAGTCCTTTAACCAACAAACAGGATTAAGATTAACTGGCTACAGCTGATAACATTTGGAGACCACAGTTATAATTTCAACCACTGATACTCTGGATAAAAAGGAGAAATCTATAGGGATAATAATGTCGACTAGAGGTATTTCTCTCTGCAGCAATTTTCACAATGCATTAAGACAGCATAAATGTGACAATGTCTGACTAAGTGAACAAAATAGGATGAAATGTGTGATGTTGTGTCTGCAGGTTCTTAAATCATCATAATTTTTAGGACATTGTCATTATGTGATGGGTCCACTGTCAACCAAAAGAGTCTGCCAGTATTCTGGCACTGTGGCTGTGACTCACCACACACTATCCTACTGTCCTGAGGGTGTAGTTGCATATCGAGGCTCCTACAGCCACAGTTAACAGGAGATAAGCTCCTTGCCCCGAGGCCATCTGGGCTCATGGAAGGCTTACATACCTGGAGCACTGAACTGACGCACGGTGGTAGTTCGGATCTTATCGTAGACGCGGCTGAGACCGCAACCTTTCGGCACGCTCCAGGGAGCCGTGCTTGCCCGGCTGTCTCTCTCCTCTGCTGTATCATAGACCTCTACGTGGGGAGGGCGCTCGGTCAGGTTTTTGCTGTAATGGCTCAAGCCGTACTGAGCAATCTGGATGGCGTAGAAGTAGCCCTGAGGGCCCCACTGAGTGGACAGAGGCACGCCTGGATGGAGAAGGAGAATAAGGACAGGGATGTTAAACCTACTCCGAGGAGTTTTTAACTGGTTATGAAACAGTCTCAATTTAATACTGATACCTCTATATCACCTACATAAACATGCATCATCTTGTTTATGTAAAGGTTTTTCTTTTAAGCTCTTTGCAGTCTATTTCAAGCAAATGTTCCTTTTTTGATCGCAGTTGGCATAACAGATTTTTTTTGGCTTGAGGAAAGACTGAATCTATTAACTTCAGTGACACATTAAGTTCATAAGCATGGTCGTATCGATAAAACTGGTCCAAAATTAATTATTGATACCACACATTCAAATTTAAAAACTAAAACTAACTGTGAGAAACGAGCTGTGGCAATAACAAAAGTTCAAATCTGGTGCTGTATTGTATACAGACACAGAAGACAACAGAAAACAGTCACTACAAAAAAGAAGCAGAAAACTGTGAAGAAAAGAAACACCACCAGCTATGGTAAATAATTGGATGGTGTGGTGAAATTCAAGATAAGCTACTGCATTTCACTGCAGGTGAGCTTCCCTGTTCACGCAGCCAGGAATAGCTCAGGCAGGAGAATCACTCTGATTAACAGATAGTTCACTTAAAGCCCTTGTGACAGAGAGAGCACATGTGCAACTCAAACCCCATCCTTCTGAGAAGAAGAAGATAATGTACTCAGATTAGTGCTGGGTGATAATGTGCCTCCTCCTTTCAAACTAATCACTGCTGCATACACAGCTGATCACTTATGTACTATTTCCCTTATTGCCATTTGTGCTGTGTTCCCAATAGGAGGTAATCATACACCAAAGACTCCATTTTATTATTTGCTGCTCTCCGAAGTACAGGTCCAGTTGTCTGACCCCAAAATCCAACGGTCAGTGATGTAACACAGAAAGAAAGCTTTTTGCTTTTCTTTTTATGACAGACAATACAGTGGTAATGGATTTTCATTCTAACTTGTGTGTGTAATTGAAAATGGAGGCAAAGAATGAACTGATGGGCATTATGATTGAAGTTGTTGTGGTACTGAAAACGTTCCTCTGCTCCCTCATTAAACCGTTTAGAGACCATACAGCTAGTAATGGTGTGTCTAATGTACTGAACATTTTCAAAATGTTTGACTGTGAAACAAAATGTGCAAACACATACACACTTGTCCTACAGTGAAATGCAGGATTAAGAAACTTACAAACGATGCCACAAGTCTCTCAGTTCTTACTAGTGATATATATAAATTACACACTAAAAGTTAAACAGCAAAATTCTTAGAAATGATACCAACTACTTGTTTTTTACCAATCTAAACATCTACATTTGGTTTTCTCATGTTTAAAACATGAAGTCACGTTTCATCCGTGAGCGAGGAGCTAAACGAGAGCCCTCCATCCACCCCGATCCGCCCTGTGCACTGGACTCTCAAACAACTGCAGTAGGAGTCGATGCAGCGGCGAGGGCATGATCCCTTACTGATGTGCCATCCACAAACACTGGTAATTTGTATTCAACAACTTGCCCAATCGCAGCTAGAAGCACTATTGCTGAGGATTGTGGCGGATATGTGGTTTATTTCTACACCAGCTGGGCAACCGTATTATACTAGTTATATACAAAAGTGACTCATTTTACTTTCATGGCCTGTATGTACATTTCTGTGAAGAATTAATTCAGACAGACCAAATTTGTTGCACAGAAACCTTCAAACCTTCTTAACAGAAGCTCTTGTACATTTACCAATTGCTCCCTGCAGTGTTTCCATACCGAGAGTCTGTCTCGTACTAGGCCAGACAGAACTGCATGCTTACCCGTTGCATAAATGTATGGCACAGAATCAGAAGAGTTTTACCCATTACTAATGACTATACACATGACTAATTTCTACTTTAAAGATTTGTTTTTTTCACACCGAAACAACAAGTGCTCAAATGTATGCTTAATTAAATTAGTTATTACAAGCTCATGTTTATTTACATCAGCAAAAATGTGTTAAAATAATAGATTAATAATGGTTAGCAACAATCACTGTGTAGCCTGTTTCATGACAAATATTCAGAAGTAATGCATCTGAAATATGCATTTTTCTTATGTTTGATCATTATTACTAATGGGGCAGGAATTTATGCCCCAGTTAATTTTTAAAAGGGACAAGTACATACCACCCACCATCATGCATTTGATTCACGTGTTCATAAAAAGAGCACAAAAAATGAAATGCACACACGCACACACACTTAACAATCTCTTGCCAGACTTTTTTTCATGCCTGTCTCGTTACTGGCATCTCCCTCGACAACTTAAGTCAAATTACTGTCAAAATCCCAAAACTGTAACATGGTGCTACTCACTGAATAACACTAAGTAATCCATGTGGAATTGACTGTTAAGCCTCCACATATTTTCATGACTCCAGAGAGTGGACTTTTCTAGAAATCTGAAAACCTAAGGCTTCTGCCAATTACAGTATGCTCTAAGCCTGCTGAAGTTAATATAGCAGCAAAAGTGTGACACCATCTTATTGTTGTGCAATGTTTCTCATTTTTGATCACTAGCTTCGTTGTTTGCCTTTACACCTTCTGCTGAGCCAACTGAGAACTCCTTGCGGCTTTTAGTCTTCTTTAGATAAACAGTTTGAGCAAACTAGCTCGGACAATCTCACAGTGAAGAACCAAAGTGAACTGGTGGAGAAAGTTTAGCATGTCGCAGCTTGCTGGGGACAAAAGCAGAGCTAAAAGGCCTGTGAATACTGGACTAACATAGGTCAGGTGGTCAGAAACATGCTAACAAATAACAACTTGAATGGTCTATCAGAAATGTGTTCCTGTAATGTTTTTTGTATTATTTCTGCCTCCTACTGGCCAAAATAGTTTAATGCAGCTTAACGTTTGCATTACAGCTGGGGACAACATAAAACACTTTGGGGGTATAATACGATCTTTATTTAGCTAGATATTCCACTTCCTGCTATGAAGTGTTTCACACAGGGATTGAACAAAATGAAGCAGCTGGCTTGAACTCAGCTGTAGAATAAGCGTAATTATACGCCAACCACAGGTACTGTAGATGCGAAGCCTATTGGAAAAAAAGCAGAGATGAAAAGAGCCTGTCTGCTCACAGACTGCCAACCACAATTTTATTTAATTTTTATTACAGGACACAGATGGAACTGGGATCAAATTGTTGTCTTTTTAAATTAATTCATGGTTTGGAGTCTTTGTAACCTGGCTGTAACACACAATGGTTTGAAACAGTGTCCTGCATTATATTCAGAGACTATCCACTACTACTATCCACCTCTATCTTCACTGGAAAGCACTGGATCCATCTTGGTCAGCAGTTGAGTGTGCACAGGTGTTAGGTTAAGAGAGTCCATGTATGTGTTTGCACTGAGAGTATGTGTTTTATCAAGCACTTAAAAAGGTTCTAAGGTGTATTTTAGGGCCGTGTGTGTGTGTTTGTGCAAATGTTTAAGTGATGGTGGTCTGCAACGGAACGGGGAGCGAAGATAAAGATGGTTCAAGAAAAAGCGAGAAACACAAAAAAACGAGACAGCTCGTGATTTAAGAGGGTGTTATTAGAGAGGATTAACTACTTCCACTAATGATAGTGCCCTTGCTGCTGGAGCTTCATTATTCTCAACTTTTTGTTCTTTGTCTCATGGAGGCTCTGGTAAAACAAGGGAAAGTAAGACCTCAATTTCTAACCCGCTACTATAAAACTACAAGCCCTACAGGAGATGTGACAGGAACGGCACATTAAAGAGCTGTATTTGTATGACTTTGTCTAATAATAAGAACATGGAGAGAATACATTTGGATTCAAAGACTCATTTATCTCAATCTAAACATTTTTATTTCATTCCACTGGCGCAAGTGACAGCATGAACTTGAGATATTAATACAATCTATGTCCAATGCTAGACTCTTTACATAAGCAAGGCAAAGTGAAGTAAAAGAGCCTTCGCAACATTTAATGAATATTGCTGAGGGTCCTGTTAAATAACTTTTCCATGGGTAGCAGGGTGCGCTGGGAGAGAAACACTCCCATGACCTTGTTTAAGCCCTGTGGTACCTCGGACTGTGACAGGCTAATTAATGAACTGCTATTTTCACCTATAAAAATATGCTAAGTTGAAGAGAGGTGTGTATGCTTGCGCATGTGGAGTGCTAAATAGCAAGGAGCCTTGGGCTTAATTAATGGACCTTGGTAAATTGTGTGTGTGTGTGTGTGTGTGTGTGTGAGACCAAGCGTGTGGTTATGAGAGTGTAGATGTGTTTTCTCTATTTAGTACTAAAAGAAACATTCTGCAGGAAATGGTAGAGTGAGAATAACTTGGCTCCCCACTGCTCAGCCCAGAGGTACAAACTGACAGATTTGGCTAGATTCCTGTTTGACCCATTTTCCACTATATGTGTTGCCTCTCATACATGTGTTGTGGTGGGGTACAATTAGGGTAAATGTAGCATAATTTGTCACCCAAAAAGGTCCTTAAATGGGACTGCAGTTCAGCTGAAAGAGTAATGAGAACTACAAAAATAAAACAATGCACTTTGAAAATCACCCAAACTCGAATTGGAATCAAATAAATATGTTGTCAGGCTTTCTGATCCAACTGTGGGGACATAATTCATTATTTTCTGCATCCATGCAAGTATTACAGCCTCTGAAAGAGCGCATGATGGAATGACAAACATAATTCTTCCAAATTTGACTATTTATAAAACTATTGTGGGTTTGTGTGATGAACAGAAAAAAAGATTTGTGTCACCACGTAAAAGAAAAAATGCCAATGTGGCAAATTGCACTATCAATCTCAGCAAAAATACCTATTTACTGCTGGCAAATTGCTCTTACAGACACGGGCTATCATTATTCATCAAGCTAACCTCTGCAACTGACACTTTGCCAGTGAATATATCATCTTTTATTAGATCTCACCACAAAAACAAAAGCTTGCTTCTTGAGTGGAAATAGACTCAGGAACTGTGGCCGAATAACTACCAATCACATCCCTCCTACTTATACAATTTTACTGATGAAACTGATATGTTTGAATTTCAAAGGGATCTTTTTGGGGGACATAAAACAGCCACTATATTTACAGCTCCTGGGGTGATAGTGTTCCTTCTAATTTACTGGAAGCTCTGACTATTTGACCAAAAAAAAAGAAGAAGAATGAATATCTAGTTTGTAATTTTGGGCCAAGTATACAGGGCCACTTCTTCAAGCGAGCATGGAACTATATTGATGACAATGTGGTTTGAACTAATAGCCTTTTAAAATGAGCTATTGATCCTTCCTGGTGATTATTTTAAATAAGGAACCTTTAAAAGAAACTAACTTGAGTGTGGACTCAAAGTGTGAGAGAACAAGGAGGGATACACTCACTAAACAGACATCCAGCAAGATGTCTATATAAATGAAATATACAAATGCTGACAGCTTCTGAGTGAAGAAAACATTTTTAATTGACTCGACACAAATCATGTTTAGTAGCGTCAGTGTTCAAGAAAGGCTAATAGTGCCTAGGAATGGGTGGCAGAGATTTTGAAATCTGATGCATCTTGTTAATCAAGTCTCGATTCACTTTCTCACAGATCACTCAGCTGAAATCGACCTCATTAAGTAAACCATGTATTTCTCAGTTACGTAGGCGTTATTAAACACCTAAAAAACAAAAGTGCTGATGGTTTATGGAATAGAATCAGTTTGGAAACCTGGTGTTTTACTTTAGGTAGCATGAAAGGGAACATTTTGTTTAAAAGTTAATATGTAATAAGAAATGTACTTTTAGATATATAAATGCATGTTTATGTTGTTAACTTTCCCCCATCATATAAATGTCTGCAAATACACAATGTGAAAATTAAGTTGTCCTTTGACTGACACATCACATTGTCACTTTTTGCACACAGTCAATTGTTTGTTCCTTTTTTCCCCTATGAGATGAGACTGTTATGTTTGCTATACAAAACTAATACTGCTTCTCGAAAATCCTGGATTCAAAAGCATAAAGCATTTCACATTTGTTACTACTAGTGATCTAAACAGACAGTAGAAGTTAAGTTTTTTTTTTAAATATTGTTATTCAGATGCATAGTGACTTGATTTTATGTACTTCAGACTGTTAGCACCACTATTTCATTTAAAATCTAATATTCTCAAACATCCCTGTGATGAACATCAGTTACAAAGTCTTACCTTCCACTCCACTTATACACTTGACACGGTCGCGGACCTCCACATTGTATCCCTCGAACGACATGAAGACTCCATCGGGGTGGTAGGGCTCACGCTGAGCGTAAACCTTTGAATAGCTGTGCTGGAACTCAAACCGATCGTAGCCGTCGTACTGCGCTACTTTGCCGTACACCTCAAAGTATTTCTCCATCCAGCTGAAGGGCAGGTAGATCTCCCCACCCTCTCGCCGGCCTTTGATAGTAGACTCATCATTGATCAGGCAGTCGATTTCTTCATACTTAATCCCGCCGACGACCCCGACAACAGGCGGGGGCTCTGGAGGTTGCGGAGGGTGTTGTTGGCTGCTGATGCTAGCATCCCCCACCTTGGGACTTGGAGCCACCAAGGCAGCGCGGGGCAGGAAGCGCAGGGAGGTGTCACTGGAGCAGCGGTTCCATAGCAACACAGTGATGAGTGTGAAGAGGGCGCAGATAACGATGAGGGTCTTGTAGTTCACACGAGCAGCCAGGCAGCGCATGGTCACAACTTGCCTGCATGACACAAACACGGGACACATTACAGCAAGTAAGGTTGATGATTTGTTGTGAGGCCAATAACATCTATCATCTGGTATCGGCATGTGAAGAAATGTACACCCTACAAGCTTAAGCCCTGTAGACTGGCAGCCTGCCATTAAATACTACTGAATTGATGTTATTAGAGAGCAAAGGATGGTGTGAAAAAGTTGCAAATCTAAATACAGTGACGTAAATTCACTGCACAACATTTAATGCGATTTTCATTACTATAGTCAGTACATTTAGATGTGTACGAGAGGCGAGGTTCCTGAAAGTGCCTTTATATGCAGCAGGTCAGTAATAAGATTTCTCCTCTGCTGCCTGACTTGGAGCCATGGCTTTACAGGACACTTTTTTTGTCAGAGCATTTGGACTGAGAAGGAGAGGCTGTGTGTGTCACTATTTGTCAAATAGTCAAATGTTTAGCAACAGGAACAGACATATCTAAAGGCTACTCAGCATCAGTTTCGGTTTCAGTAAAACCTTGAATAAAATTATTTTGAAAGCAAGGATGCATTTGATCTTTCCTTTCCTTCTGCAGCACTTCTGTCTCAGCTTCTATCACCACATGTGTACATTTAAAAAGCTGTTTAGAAACCCAGTTATGCAGATACATGAGCAAGACATCAGCTTTCTCCAGGAAAAATCTGGCTCTGGGAATCTCTTATCCCCTACCCCGATTACTGAAACCAGGTTTTTGGTTTACATCACATTTAAAAAGAACATCTGCTTGCTGGAGAAAGCTGCCTGCAACCTGGTTACTGAAGCGCCTATAAATGTGCTGAGCGACTGACCTGCTCTGCTCTTTTGCAATAAGTTAAATATGTGGTTAGATCGAGCAAATCAAATGATCTACATGGTAACACTGTTACCCGAGAGAAGGCTGCTTGGAACAACTTTCCTTAAATAGATGACAAGTTGTCAAACACACATTTTTGGTTGCTTTTGTTTGGTGAGGAGACCTCATGGTTATGGATGAGTCAGAAGCACATAAGAACAGAGGTGGTAAATGTAGAGTCTGTTGCTGATCACGATTGTGCACTTTAAACAAAATTTGGTTTGGTCGTACACGCAAAACGGCACGTTTGTGACCAATAATTGTGCTTAAACTGCCAGTGTGTGCCTGTGTGTCTCATTTATTACCCAACTAAGAAAGCAATAAGTGACTAAGACTATTCTGTTAAAAGTCATCAAGAGACTTCTGTATAATTACATTAAATGGCAGCTGTTCTTATCTCTGACCTTTTTGGCCCATGTTGCATCTCTTGGTTACTGCACCCTTTTGAAAGGTTTATACTATCACTCACAATTAAGTTGTATATTGACATTTCCAGTCTAAAATATATTTTTTCCATATACAAGGTTACTGTCACTATGTGATCGTTTGTTCTGTCTATATCAGATTATGTGTTCTGTGCATTTTCAATTTATACATTCATCCATTTTCATTTTAATCATCTGGATGTATTTTAAACTTCTCTGTACAGCATTAGTTAAAAGCAATGTATTAAATAGCAACACAACAATATTTAACATTTGCACAAACTCCCATGTTTATTTCAGGTTCTCATTCCATATGAATGGAGACCTCAAACAATGCACACAGCAAATCAGGCATTTTCTACCAGGCCAGCAAGAAATCAATACACATACTGACGTCTCCTCCTCCGCACTAATTACAGCTTACTGCCCATACAATTTACTATTACAGTGACGGCAGAGTTCGGTCCTCTGATGACAGAGGAAGGAGAGGAGGAAAATCATTACTCTCCAAGATCCTTTCAATATCTCAGCTTAAACTAGCCACTGCTAAAGGTCAGCTCAATTAATGTGCAGTAATTGGACAACAGCAATGTGCATTGCAGTCAAATTATAGCGCTTGCAGATTCTTGAACAAAGTTTAAATCTTAGTTGACTCTTAATAGGGAAGTAGACTTTCAGAATGCTTTAATAAGCAAAACTATAAAAGCACTGAATTTAGGCTCTGCTTGTGTAATAAAGGAGTTGAGATGTGTCCACTTGAATGGGCACAGAATATTTTTTTTTCTCCAATACACAACTGAATTTCATAAGAAAAGTTCTAGTTTAAAACTTTTTGCAGTTCCAGTCAGTGGTGGAAAAAAAAACCTTTGGTGCCCCTGATAAATTATTGCCACACATAAAAACTATCATTGATATTTAGAGAAATGTCAGCCTGGTGCAGTGATGAAAGATTGGGCCGACGGGAGCTCTGACAATACTGAAAATGTGAGGCGGAAGGCCTAGGGACTGCACCCTGAAAGATAAGTAGGACCAGCCCTGTCAGGGAACAGACTATAAATAATTGGCTCTTTTTATAGTGATTCGTCGCTAGTGTTGAGCTCAGGCTCAAGGTGGATAGACATGGGCTTAAGCACTGCAGCATGGAGAGCATCCTAATGCTTCACGACGACTATGAGACGATTCGTCTAAAGCCATGTCCCATTTCCTGAACGTAATTTAAACCCTGATACAGCATCATTAGCATGCTGGAAGAGGAGTTAATGTCACGGGTAAGTAAATTACAAGATGAAGTTCGTTTATGGATCACAAAACCTGGATGTTCTGATTCACACTCTGTCTCAACCACATCTGACGGACAAATAAGCAATTGCTATATGGTTGAAACTACTTTGGCTGTAGAGGTTGAAATCAACCAGAAACTAACTGGAGAAAAAAAAAAAACAAGAGAAAGAGAGCAAGAAAGATGAAGTGCAAAAGAGAGAGAAAAGACTGTGAAATCAGGAAAGATCAACTAACCAGAAACTGAAAATGTATTTCTTCTATATTTCATTACAATAAATTAAAAATAGTAGCAGATAAAACTCAGCAACATTAAAAACGAATGACGAGATGACACACTTTCGAAATGTCACTTGTCAGAGAGTGATACATTTGGCAAGGCGTCTTTGCAAATATCAGGCATGTTTCATTACGCCAGAACTCACTCAAGACACAGTTCAAAGAAAGGAAAACAGTCAAACAAGAGCCAGTCTCAACTCTGACCTGAACCAGTCCTGTCTATAAAAGGGTGCTGGCTCTGAGATAAGACTTGTTTTCTGTTGTTTTTTCCATGTTAGTTAATGTTCCAATACCGTTTATGGTGGAAAACATGTACGACGGATTCAAGGGCAGCACTGAAGACAGGCTGTTGCATGTAATTGGCCTTTAACACTTCTCCCATCTTTCTAAATTGAAATAAACTGCATTAAAATCCACATAAAGTAATAACATTTTGTTTCCATGTCCTCTAGGTTTCCACTGAACAGTTTAGTGTAACAATGATGTCAATGTCCTCTTGACTGTGTTTCCACAAATGAAGATGTTTGTAAATCATATCTGCTGCTATGCAAGAGTTAATTACAAGGCAAACAAACACCATTGGGCTAATTGCTCAGACGGTGGTGGCGTTGTATCTGGTGGAGTTCGACTCAAATTCACTTACATCTATTAGGAGTCTGTTCACACCAGAAAAACAACAGCATCGGTTCTTTATCCAATGACTTTTATTTGTTATTTCTGGAACAGTCATTTGCATCATTTTCTGTTTTATCATTCAGGTATGAGGACTTGTTTAGAAGATATGGATGGACCTTTGTGTAATCCACTGGTTATCAGCTCAACTCAGGAAGTGTTGCATAGATATAATCCCTGTAGTACAAACACGGTTTTGACCTGGAAGAAAAACTACAGTGACATCAAATATATAAAAAAGACAGATGCAACCGGACAGGAGGTGAAAGACAATCCTGTTGGAGGATGAAAGTCTTCCATGCTTGACGGATTAAGGAAAATGACACTGGAAAACAAAAGCAGCTTTTCAGTTTACATGCTCCCGGTGTCCCGCCTCAGGAAATTGAAAAGTGCCTGAAATAGCAGGCAGTGACTTGTAGATTTTCATATGATGGCATCATTATTTTTAAAGCTTAAATGATCAAACATGGCTGTATGTATGCAAGGCAGAGGAAGGAACAAAGGAAGCCTTTGGCATATTTCTTTTTTTTCTTTTTTTTTTTAATATCAAATCAACTTCCCCTTTTGCATCCAAACGCCCATCATCCACTTGCAGTCTTTAATTTTTGTAAGAAAATACATAATCAACAACAAAATCTACTGTGATCATTACACAGTACAGCAGTTCTGTATATTGTATTTTCTTGAATTAAACTTATGATGACAGCAATTTGTTTTGTTTTGTAATGACATAACACCCACACTGTCAAGGTTTCTGTGTTAAAATAATGTTGAATTAATAGAACTTTACTATAGACACCATACCTAACAACTTATCACTGATCTGTGACATTGTCGGTAAGCTTAACACAAAGACAGGAGGCAAGCGGAAACAGCAGAAGTACTCTATTTTAAAGTTACCTTAACTAATGAATTGTAAGGTTATCTGTAAATGGTCACATTGAGCTATATACTGTAGCTATTTGGAAACATATTACATAGCTGGTATATGGTGCTGAAACAGTTTACTAACTGATTAAAAAACATTCATCTATTTTGATAATTGATTCACAAAAAAAGCCAAATATTCACTTGTTCCAGCTTCTTCTTTTCTTTGTTTTATATAATTGTGCCATTATTGAGTTTTTAAACTGCTGGTCGGACAAAACAAGACATTAGTTAAGCTCTAAAATGATTAATCAGTTGAGAAAAGTAATTGTTAGATTAATCAATATTAAAAATAGTCAATAGATGCAACCCTAGTTGTATACTTATTTAAGAATTTTTAAAAATAATTGTCACAGCATCACAAATAGGCATTATTTTATATTATATATATATACGAATAACTAAATACGAAAATTGTCCACTTACAGTATGCTAACAATGACAAACTGCTGGTAAGTCACGTCTGACTTAGCTTAATGCTCTCTGACTGACAAATCCTACATGATACTGCTGACAGCTCTACTCTGTAGCTGCTTGAGCAAAACATCGGCTCCACGAACTGACAGGACGAATTCCTGAGGTCCCAGAGTGCTCACATGTCCAATAACATAGAGCTTTTTTGCTGCTTCTGCAGATCATCAAAGGCTTTAGACTCTGATTGTGAGCTTTCGCCTTTGAGCTGTGATGGACAGTAACATATGAGGGATCTCTGGGTGCCCTGATGGTTGCTTCATCATATGCAGCAAGTGATCCTCCGGCTTAAAACTATGGCTATTAATTCTGTCTGACTTCTTTTTAAACACATGCAAATATTTGGATGTCTTTATCCTCCAAATCCCCCCCAGTAACAAGGCTGGGAAAATCCTAGCAGGCACCTCATACTGCAATTGTTTGTTAATGATGAGAAAGAGTGCTCTCAAAAAGAGTCTCATGAAATCAAATCTCATCAACAGCAAAATAACACTGTAACCTTGTTAAATGCACTTCAAGTCAAACTAGCAGCTCATCTCTGTCCTGGTCCCCGGTGCAGAATGTACAACATTTACAACATGTCAAAACTGCTGCAGCAGTGAGCATAGGGACGGGTGAATGGAGCTGTTTTTCTTCTCCTGCTGTACTGTGGCGTAAAAATCACAAGCAGTCATCACAGCAATAAAAGCTGAGTGCTCGTGAGCCACCCTTGGGGAGCTATTGGAGCAGAAGCCTGGTGTATGCGTGAGGTGCAGGTGTTGCAGCCCTAACTAAACTCCTGACATTTTCACTGCTCTCCTCCACGGGTGAAGTAAGGTAGGGGTGTGAGACGGCCCGTAAATTATCAGCTTATGCTAAAGCTGTGAGGCATGTTGTTCCTGTGGAGATGGGGTGTGGTGTGTGTGTGTGTGTGTTGTGTGTGTGTGTGTGTAATGCATATGTATTGTGGGAGTCTGTTGTGGTTCTGAGCATGTTTATGATACTGTGTAGGCATCAGGGTGAATGCCTACATAAAAATAACGTGAATCTTTATCCACAACCAGTATGCAAGTACAGTTACTATAAATATCTTTTTCAACCTGTTGCAATACTCACATTCTATTACAATTATACATTTTGTCATCAAAAGACACTATTCAAAGTGTTAGTAAACAACATAAACCAACCAGTCTAGCGTACTGAGAAACTAATTAATCGGTTGACCGATATGCCACACATTTTGCTTTTTTGAGATAACCGCCATCGCTTGATGACTGGGCCGCTCAAGAGGCCATAAACAAAAAATGTCTGCAGACACATCTACAGGCAGCCTCGTCAGTGTGGCTGCGGTGGAGCGCTGTTAGCACTGGCCCTTATGAGTTTTGGGAAAGTGGTTAAAAGCTTGCCCTGTACTGTAACTCTCATCAATCCTGCTGTTAACATTTGCCTAAATTCCCTCATTTCTAAATGTTAAAATGTTTCTACCATCCTAAATGACAGAAAATCTAATTGAAAACCATTACTGGCTAGCTTTAAATATATATTATATTATAGTGTACATAATAATGGAGTTAAATTAGGTAATTTCCGACAAACTGTTACAACTCTCTCCTTTAAAATGTCAGTCATGTTCTGAAATCTAAACTCAGTGTATTTTTTTTTGTTTCAGAAATTAATAAAAAAATCCATCAACAAAAACACCTAAAACAACATGTTACTGCTGAGATTACCAAGTATATTAGATTGTAATGCGTATGAAATAATAATATATTGCCCTGTTCTCTAAATATCAGCACTGACTATTAAAAAAACCTACATCCGTCGAGCAGTACCAGTGTCACCAAAATATGTTAACACTCCCTCCCAGGCATAATGTGCTAAATCTGGAATACAAAGATAATTACAAATATCAAAGCCGACACCGATCTGAGTCATTAACTTTTACATTCAAGATGCAGCTGCTGAGACTGTGTAACATGGCAATAAGTCAAGGTTGTAAGAAGGTAGGAGAAGTTAACTGGACCTGCCTGTACACAAATACACATAGTAACCAGAACAAGTTCACCATTGTAATTTAATAAATGTTGTGTAGAATCTGCAGCTACCTGTTTCAGCCTGGCCACTGTGCCTGCAGACCTCCTCTCTGTCTCTCTCTGACTGCAGCCACAGCAAGCAGAGAGGTCTGCATATTCATGAAGCAGCACTGGGGACTCACTTGCCGGTCATACTGTTACTAATGTCTTCCCGACAGCCACTTGATTGTTGTTAGGGTCGTTATAAATGAAGTAGGTAAAGCAGTCTTAACAGTCACAAAATCTAGTGACACCAAGGCTGCAACTAACAGTTATTTTAATTATAAATCAATCTTCGGATTGATCGGAATCTTCTTGATTTAGTTGATTAATCGTTGAAATGCCACAAAACAGAGGAAAATTACACTTTACTAAAGGCCAAAAATGTCTTCCCTGTCTGTCTTGTTTCTTCCCCCCCAACATCCCTGAATGCAATGTTTCTTATGTTCACTAAAACATAAGAAAGAAAACCAACTGAAACTGGAACCAGAAAGTATTTAGTGGCAAAAAACAAAACTTGAAATAATTAAACAAATGATTAGCCAATGACAAAAATAGCCACCTTTGTTCGTGCACTGTTCCTTAAAAGAATGGCAGATCAGCTAACAAACCTGCAGCCACACAGCAGACCAAGAAGTATGCTGGAATCACTGCTCAATAATAAAGCTTTCTTTAGAGGCAGCCGAGAAGTGAGTAAACTGCTTTGAAGTTAATGCGCCTGTGTGTTTTATCTCTAGTAGGAGGATTAAGCAGGTCATTACGAAAAAGCTTATAACTGAGCCCTACTGAGGGATTAAGCAAACTCCTAATCAAATGGAGGCAAGAAAAAAAGAAAAATATAAACAAAACCTTTAGCCATCATTTCAGAGGCGGGTCATGCCAGCTGCTTGTCCTACAACCTCCTAGAAATCTCAGAAACAGGGAGTGGCAAAGGATATGTAAGAAAGAAAGGATCTAAAAGTGAAGTAACAAAACAGGCTATGGTAGGATTTAGAGTGCTGCAACAAGAAACTCTGGCAGTTAAGGGGGAAATGACACTGTGCACCGAATGTGGATTTGGGGTTTAATAGTCATTGCATGCTAACAGTTTTGTCTCAAATTAAATAAATGAATCTCATTCCCATTACTTTGTTAACGCACAAAATGTGTTGGCAATTGTATTTTTGTTGTGTTTGAGTGTTGAAGTGGAATCAACAATCTGTACTAAATAACTGACAAACTAATCTTAAGGCTAACGTTGCTAATCTATGTCAACAATATGAGCTTTCTTGAAGCAAAATTACATTTCCAAAATTAATACATTTGTCAACTTAGTATCCATGATCTTGTTGTCAAATATTAGTTTCTAGGTCTTAATGACACTGCATCTCCTGTTTCTGTCACTTAATGAAGTAGACATGGAGCCTGCAGCCTAATCATTCTGAGTACTATTAAACCTGAGGTTGAGCAAAAGCAAAAACAACACAAAATGACTAAATGAGTATCTGCCATTAAGAAGCAGTTATGTTTTGTCATATTGTCCTTCTCTTTACAGGTAGAGTAAAAGTAAGCTCATAGGAAGAATGCCAGGCTTGAAATATGTCCAAAGTAGCTTTCCGTGCACTGCAAATGCACTGCTTTTGTGCAAATATTAAGCACATTTGTGTTGCTTTTCTGAATCAAACAGCTCTCCAAATTCTTATTTATGAGCTTAATATTTACCAAACAACCAACAAATCCAGCCAAATCTAGCCAAATGTCAGCATTAGCTCTGCTGAAATATATGTGAACATCCCTGATGTTCAACTGAAACGACATAATTACCTTTTATAACGTGATTATCAAACAAACTGTACAACTCTCTATATGCATAAAAGAGGCTTATGCAACACAAATTACTGTACACTAAATGGCCAGTTGATGATTATTTCACACCGCCCATGTGACATAACTCAAATATTAGCTATGGTATGAAGTGGTGAGCCATTATCCAGAGATTATAACAGTGCTGTGTGGGGGTGTGCGTCAGTTGTCTCAAGTCCAGCAGTCTCTCTTCATGCAGACACACAATTACCCGGTTACACAAGCTAATGAACCCACGGTTAGTTCAAAGAGCTCCATCTTTCCTTATGCTATCAAAGACGACTCAGTACTGACGAGATGAGGAGAAACGCAGGGCTTAGGGGGACTTGTAACAGCTATGCTTAATCATTTCATCACACAAACAAGACTGGGCCATTCTTCACAGTGGATATAGGATTTAATTTGTCCATGTAATGAAGTCTAGCACAAATTGGCATGCAGAAGAGGTTAAACTGCATAAACAGTATGTTATTTAATTTCACGTACAGTAAGGGTTATTTCACAAAACAAAAACACTGTTGATTCAGCTCGGTCATAACGAGGGGTTGTGCATGCAGAAATATCTACACTACTTGGCGTCTAAATAATAACTTCTCTTCTGTGTAAGCTAACTGGGAGGTGGCGACCCTGAGTGTGTATGTATGTTGCCCTGAATCGAGGACCGCAAGGATATTGATACTGACCTCTAATCCATTTACAAATAAACGGCCAACTGGCTGGACATCCTGTCGACATTCACCACAGAGTCTTTCCACAGCTGGTTCTTCTGGTACTTTGTTTTCTCAGCCCCTATACATGACAGACAAGAAAATGTAAATTTAATATAATTATGGTGCATTTAAGTTGAAGTTATCTATAAAAAGCTACATAAGGTGCATACAACTATGTAATTCTGTACGCATGAAATTCAAGAGCATATGCACCTGTATCTCTGTATAGGTGTACAAAAACTGTTATATACATATATACAGGTGGCTTGTACAACAATTATACATGAAAAATTGTCAATCCCTGGTTTTATTCTTGCTGTTTTGAGTTTTGAGTGCATCTTTTTCCCTGTATGAAAGATGTGCATCTGTAGTAAATGTATATAATATCCCTTTAACTCTGTTGGGATTATGTTTATTCTGTTTATTACTATTCTGTGTCCCATCAGGGTGGGGCCTGGAAGGATGAGGCAGGTTTATCCTAGCTACAGCTGCTGATGAGTCAATAATCATAAAAAAGAATTAATTCCTACTTCACTTTCTTCCATGAAATCCTTGAAAAGCCTAAATGTTTCCGGAGGTAAATTATTACTGATTGCTCCTGCTCGCTAAGCAGCTTTTCAATACAAACTTTTCTGAGGGAAACAAAATTATTAACTGTTGTAATTCTCTTTTTCACTGTGGCTAATTATAGCCTTAAATCAATGCCCAATAGACTTTGACACTGATGTTCTATAAATTTAGACGAGGAAACAAATACATATTTGTAATTGCAGCCATGATGAATTTATAGGCTTTCCGACAGCAGGGTCATTAATGTACTACAATCACTCAGTGCAAATCTATCAGTGCAAATATGCAGAGTGTGACATGGATACTTTACTCTGCAATTAATCTCACCAATGTATTCCTTGCCCCTGTTGAAACAGGCTATTAAACTAAAGAAGGTGCTAAATCGCAACGTCAAAGAGAGCATATTGATCTTTTTATGAAATGTGCTTATTGACGAAGCACTTAAATTAGATATTGTAGAAATAAAACCAGCTGGGCTACTCCTGTCATTGTGTGGCCTAATGCAGTTTTACAGTGCTTGAAGAGAAAACAGACCGACAGAAGACCAAGAAAAGGACAAGGTGAAAGGGACAAAACAACATAAAAACACTTCACTATAAAATGCAACCCAATTAGAAATACATTAAATGAGTCACAGCTTCATTCATTACCGCTGTAATTAATCCCAAATCAATATCTGAAACATGATATTCTTTGTGTTTTCTCTTTCAACTGGTTTAAAGACAGATCAAAAGAATATCTCAGAGTAAAACAAACCTGAGTGCTGATGCCAGGTGAAAAAAAAAAGATTAACACACTACAGCTTGTCTGCTACAAATAAGCAGAGATACCAGCTGACCAGCCTTTTTATATCAGATTAATTACACCCCAACCTGACTAAAGAGGCAAAATTATTAAAGATCATTTATATTCAAACCCTGTAGCTACATCCTGTATATCTGATCTATCCTGCAAAAGGTCTGTGAGACAAAATAAATTAAATCTTAATGAAATATTTCGGACATAATTGTGCTGTGATGACAGAGGGAAGGTGTGTGTGTGTGTGTGTGTGTGTGTGTGTGTGTGTGTGTTTGTGAATGTGTAACCTGCCTTCATCTGAAAGATGTGACATGTTGTACCCAGCCAGGGTGAAAAGGAAGTAGAAATGTCAGCAGTCTTAATCAATATTCCCTGGCTACTGTATGGGCGTACTGATGCTTTTTTTTTTAGGCAGGTGTGCTGCAGGCAGATGGTGAGAAGTGGAAAATGAGAGTAAACGTCAGCCTAGAGCAGCTCATTCTTCCTGGAGCTTGTCCTGCACCACTCCTGCCATCTAGGCATTTTCTAGGCAACATTTCTTTCCAGATATCGCCTCTCTTTGAACATCTGGAAGCATCTCAGCTGAGCCACTGCACAGGCATCCACTTACACAGAAGCCACAATCGGGTGGTCAAGAATAGCATATTAATCTAAACATATTGTTTTGTTTAGCAATACAAAATAACACACACACGTTAAACCAAAAGGACCATCACACACACACACACACACACACACACTCACACACACTATCTGCGGCTTAGTGTATAAGAGTGGATCTCAATTAGGATTTTTTTTCCACTAGCCCTGCTCTATCTTGATCATTCTGATCATTTGCACATATTATGGAGGTCACATGAATCTGTTAACATCAGAGGAAATTGTTATATTTTTACAAAACATACACTCGGTTGCCAGTTAATTAGGAACACCTAACTAAAGCTAATGCAGTTTAACAGCCCTGCAGTAAGTCATACCTTCATGAAGATTATAAGAGACTTGTGGTGCTGTTGAACTCTGCTGCATTATACTGACAGGTGTTTATATTATTTTGTCCACCCCATTTATATCAATGAGGAGGAGGCTACATAACGGAAACTCCTTTTAGTTGAATGCAATACAGTTTAATGGCACCACCAACTACAGTCTCCAAAATGATCATATAGTTGAATTAACAACTGTTTAAACTAAAACTGAACAGGATTTAATGCAGAACTGTTGTTTTAAGACAGCCCTAGTTTTTAGCTCAATGTACATAATAAACTGGCAACTGAGTGTAATATTAAGCTGACTGTTCAGACCATCATCTGGTAACTGCATTGACAATGAGCTGCAGTGCATTAGGATATGTCTGATTTAGCTCAGCAGGTGATTGATTATGAAGTCTGCTGGAGGAAACCGTGCATATATGTGAGTATTTTAAAACAAAGTTTAAATGACTCCATTTAGAAATGTGATTTTGTTAGTTTACTATATTTTTATTTGACCTATATGTACTAGAAATATGTTAAAGATGTTTTGGCCCCATCTTGTTTTATTCATTATGAATAATTAGGTGTTGCCAAAAAATAAAAAAGTGAAAGGAGCTGATGGACTGTGTTTGAGGTGTCAGATCAGAGACGAGTACCTAATAATCACTACAGCAGGAAACCACTAATTTGCTAACATAATAAATTAAACTGCATTTACAGCAGACTGACGATGAAGAGAGTTTTTTTTAATATTTGAATTTTCATTTGAAGTTTAATTTCTAAAGTTGAAGCTCAACCAGTATGAGTAATAGAAATAATCTCTGAAGGATGTGTAATGAAGAGAAGTGAAAGCCAAGGAGAACTCCAGCTTCTCTTCAAGGTGGCTTAGCATGGGGCTCTCAAAGCTTAGCACTGCGCTGACACCGTTTTCATAGCCTTTACATATTGTCCCATTTAATCGACCTTTCTTAAGCAAGGGGTTGACACCTTGCATATGAATCACGAACATCAACTTTATGGCTCTCTCCTGTGAATACATTTTGAACATTAGGCTGAGGATATTTCTTTTACGACGGCTTGACTGAGAATGATATTAGGTCATTAATTATTTTTGTCGCTCCTCATTTGCTGCCATCCTGACACAAGCAGCCATCTATCAGGACTTGCAGTCGGGGTAAAAAAAGAGAGATAGAGACCCATCTGTTGGGCATTCATAATACATCCATTTTCTCTGGGGAGTCAATGGCTAGCCAAACATTGAATGATCGCACCACTGATGCCACCATGGTGCCAGCCATCATTGACCATCTGATGCTCAGAGCAATATCCAAGAATTCTGAGTCTGCAAAGTGAAGAGCTTGTTTAATTGAGATTTTTGCTTGCAGAGCTGGAGCGAACTGATTAAATGTGATCACTTCTTATTAGGCATTTCATCAACTCTGCTTCTGCTTACACACACACACACACACACACACACACACACACACACACACACACACACACACACACACACACACACACACACACACACACACACACACACACACACACACACACACACCACACAACACACACACACACACACCAAAGGAATTGTGATACACACATTTTCAGATTTAATACAACAATCAGTTTTAAGGTCATGATTTCAATTAAGAGGTTAGCTGTAACTAACTTATTTTTATTATAAAGTAATCATTTTTTCAAACCTTTTTTTTCCATTTTAACAGTCTAGAAAATATTACAAAATAGTGAAAAAAAATACCATTTTCAATTTCTCCAAGCCAACCAACAATCCAAAACCTTAACATATTTATTTTACCTTCATATATGACAAAGAAAAGTAG